AAATAAAAAATAAAATATTAACTGTAAAAATAAAATTTATTTATTATTTATTTTATTTTTAAATTTTTATTTACTATTTTTGTTTTTGCAGAAGTGGGGATTGAACTCAGGCCCTTGCATTTACTGAGCTAGCTCTCTAGCCCCTCAAAATTAAATTAAAAAATAAATAAGGCTTACTGAAAGGAAGCAGTGTTCAAGTATTTGTCCAATCTTGCATACCTGTATCTGTTAATCTGAGCACCAGATTTGATAAAAATCCACATATAACTTGTTAATTTGCTGTTTTCAAACTCTGTGCTATATATGTATTGTTGCATGTTACTCAGTTTGCCTTTGTTGTTTACTCATTGAAATAAAATGTAATCAAATTTAAAAAATACATAAACAGGAAAAAAATCTATACGCTAAGAGAATTTCAAATCTATATCAAGGTCCACCCTTTGCTAAATTTCCTAGATCTTACTTGGGAGGCTGAGGAAGGACAACTGCTGAGTTCAAGGGCGGACTGAACTACACTGAGACCTCTCAAAAGAAACCATTAACTGCAATCACTAAGTCTTTTTTTTTTTTTTTAATGTATTTAGTAAAGGGTCTTCAAGGTCTCACTATACAGATTGGACTTACAGTGATCCTCCTGTTTTTAGCCTCCCAAATGCTGGGATTGCAAGCAGACACCACCACGCTGTCTCAGCATACTCTGGGGCAAGGCCGGCACAGCAGTCAATTTGAATTTAATTTTTGACATGTAGTCATCTTAAAATTCTTGAACAAGTTCAACTCCTCAACACCAATTTTAGTTTCCAAGTTCAATTGGTTCTTTAGTACATACTACCTCGATACTTTGTCTTCAAAAGTCTTTTCCTGGGGGCTGGAGAGATGGCTCAGTGGTCTAAAGCACCTACTTGGAACAAGCTAAGCTAAGCAAAGCACAGGGACTGCCGTTCAATCCCCCAGCACCACATGCCAGTCAGCCCCGCCCCCTGGTGGGCTGAGCTGGCCCCCCACACACACAATAAATAAATGTAATAAATAAAAATAAATAAATAATTTAAAAAAAAAAGTCTTTTTCTGGCACAGCTAGAGCAGGGAACAAGGTTGGGAGCCCAGCAATTTCAGATGACTTGAGGTCTGCACTGTCCTACGGATAACCCACTACTACTACTGGACTATACTGAGTTATTTTGCTGAATTCATGCACCTACAATATTTAAATGACAATGGAATACCCATCTCTGACAAAACTAAATGAAAAGGGAATATAAATGAAGGACCATTTTTGTATCTGTATATACAAAATAGGATAGATATACAGCTACTTTCTCTTAATTCAGTGAGAAGATTTGTACTAATAGTGTTTGGACAGGATATCATGTCTGCATCCTGTACTATGAATAACTACTATGAAGACAACAATATGCAATGTATTAATTATTGTAACTGTCCTACTATGCTGTTTTGAAACTGTCTCATTACTGCTTCTGAAAAAAATTAAAAATTAAAAAAAAATGTTTTTCTGAGCTAAGATTAAAACAGAAGATATTACAAAAAGAAATATATCAGGTAATAACCTATTTTTAAATCTCTCCAGAATATTTAAATTTACTATCAGATATTTTATGCACTTCATGACCAAATAAAATTTTAATGAGTACTGTTCTCTGGGAGCTACAACTATTTTTTTTTCTTTTTTTCGAAATTGGGGCTTGAACTCAGGCCCTTGCGCTTGCCAGGGAAGCGCTTATTGCACTGAGCCATCTCCCCGGCCCCAAGTGTTGTTCTCATTAAGGAAAATACAACGCAAAAATTTTGAGTAAATTACAGTAAATTTAAACAGCAGTTTCAAAGAATGCATCATAGTCCATGAATAAGACCACAAAGTAAATTCTTCTAATTTATGGGTCATGACACAGTACCATTTTTCTCATGGTTTCTGCCATTGAATATCCACTATGAATTATGTCCTGAGGAAAGTAGTAATAAATATCTGTACCCTACAGTCCATGTATTGACTGGCTGTTAAAAACAAAACAAAACAAAGTCTCAAGTTTGGCTGATCAAAAGTATTTCAGTTTTTATACAGTACTCCAGACAGAATGTGGGAACTGCACATGTTAGGCAAGTACCCTACATGGAAATATATCTTCAGCCCTGACTGGTAAGTTTTAACTTATGGACAAAAGATTCTGATGTGCAGAAAAGGGAGCTGCTTCTGACTTAATGCCTCCAAGTCACTTAATTGTTAACCAACTTTTTCAGTAGAAAAGAAATACAGATCTTCGTTGAAAGTATCCTATCAAAAAGAGAATTTTCAAAGTCACAAAATCACTAGTTTTCATTCAACCATGCTTTGTGCCTCATACCTGTATACTATATACTACTAACACTCAAGAGTCTAGGCAGGAAGATCATACATTTGAAGACAACTTTGGCGACATACGGAAGTTCAAGAGCAATTCCTGAACTACAAACGAAGCAAGACCATCTCAAAACCATGAACAGTCTTCAAAACACTGGACCACAATTTATCATTTCTGGTTAATATTTAAGAGACGCAAAAAAAGAGAATTTTGACATTACATTCCAGATTATTTACAATGTAGATTCAACATTTCCAGGCTTCTTGTTCTGGCCTCTTAATGGCAGATCCTAGCCTATGCAGCATTTTCAAGTACAATTAAGTATTTACTTTCAGACATTTGCTAATACTGTTTTCAAGCCAAATTGACTTCTTCAGCCAAACTCCTTGATATGATTAATAAACTCAGTTGAAATGTTTTGCTTTGCAACATTCCATAATCAAGCAAATTGCTACTTTTCTTATAAGAGTAGAAAGGAAGCCTGGTGTGGTCGTACACATCTATTACCCTAACACAGACTCCGAAGGATCACTGTGAATTAATCCTTGGTACACAATGAATTCAGGGTTAGCCTGATTTATGTAATACTACCCTGTATAAAGTATAAAAAAAAACAAAAAACCCACACACATAAAATCAGGGACCGAGGTACGAAAACTAACCACAATGGCCTATACTTATAATGCTGAATATGTAAGAGGATTCTAAGTTTGAACTAGCTTGGACTACTTTGAAAGATCATGTCTCAAAACCCGCGAATGTAGCTCAGTGATAGTATGCTGGGTCTAGATTCAAACCCCAATACTAAAGGAGTAGGGGGAGAAGCACGCCTGGGCAACACATCTAATAATGGAATTCAATTATCTTAAGATGGGCCAGTGAGACAGTTCAGCAGACTAAGCACCTGCTTAAGCAAGCACAGGGACTGGGGTTCAATCCCCAGCATGCAGTGCAGGCCCAACCCCCAGGGGTGCAATGAACAAGACTGGGCGTAGTGGCGCACACCTATAATCCCAGCTGGGGAGGCTGAAAACAGGAGCATTACTACGTATCTGAGCTGTGTAGTGAGACCCTATAACTCAAAAAAAAAAAAAGATGAAAAATGGAGTAGGGTCCTTCATAAATAGAAAAAGCAGAGGCAATAACGGGGTGGTGGCGCACCCATGTAATGCTAGCAGTTGAGACTGAGGCTAAGTTCAGTTCAAGGCTACCATAACAAATACAATGTCTTAATAAAGGTTAAAGGTATATCTACTTCATAATTTATAAAATTATACACATATATGTGTGTATATATACACTCTCCGTAGCACTGCAGTCCAGCATATCACAATTTTAAAAAGGGGTAAACCAAATCTCCTTTTATTAAAACTATTATCTTTTGTGTATCTTAGTATGATTTTATTTAAATGTCTTTGCAAAAGGTTCATTTTTCTTGGAAATGTGGTATTATAAGTTGAACTAAATTCAGAAATTTTAAATCTTTAAATATGGCCTACTCCTTTCTACTTTGAAAATTCTAATTCTATGAATATAAGTTTCTTGGTTTTGACAATGAATTATGATGACTGATCTGTAAATTCTTTCTTCATTTTTATTTTGGACTGTGTGTGTGTGTGTGTGTGTGTGTGTGTGTGTGTGTGTGTGTGTGTGTATGGCCAGCTCAGCCCACCGGGGGCAAGGCTGGCTGGCATGTGGTGCTGGGGGATTGAACTGCGGTCCCTGTGCTTTGCTAAGCTTGTTCTAAGTAGGTGCTTTAGACCACTGAGCCATCTCACCAGCCCTGGACAGTTTTTATTGTTATATTCATTTATGTTTGTAAATAACTTATTTTCAATTTGTAACCTATTAAAAAATAAAAAATAAAACTATTATCAATGTCCATACAGTTTCATTGTATTACTCTGCTACCTGCTAATTGCTACAACAGTTTTAAAACCAGCACTGAAAGCCATTCAAGCTAGCTCTGTTCCATGTATCTTGTAATTTGATGTCTTTTGGCTTCAACACTAATGCTGTTCTGAAGGCCTAAGAAATAATTATTCTAATACTGCTTTTAGACCTACAAACATGCTCCAAACTGCAATATAAGTATTAACACTTGAACTCCAAAGGCAATCTTTACAATTATATATTGCCCACTTCATACATCTGTTAAAAGGAGACAATTTTTAAGATAAGGGATCTTTCTTAAAAACTTTACTGTGCTCACCATCCACACATTTTGAAAGTCATAAAAAAGTCTATTATTGGGGCTGGGGAGATAGCTCAGTAGAATAAGTGCTTGCCTGACAAGCACAAGGGCCTGAGTTCAATCCCCAGTTCCGGGGGGAAAAAAAAAAAAAAAGTCTATTATTTAGTATACATGGCAACCTGGAAGATTTTCATTATTTTAGAGGAAAGGGAACACCTCTTTGAATATGCCAACTGCTTCTTCAAAAAGGTAAGTTCAGGGGCCAGGGAGATGGCTCCGTGGAATAAGCGCTTCCCTGGCAAGCGCAAGGGTCTGAGTTCAATCCCCGGTTCCGCCAAAGAAAGAAATTAAAAAAAAAAAAAAAAGGTAAGTTCACCACTACAAAATAGGAAACAAATTGATTTACTAGTTTTTAACAAGATAGACAAAAGAAAATACCTTCAACATACCTGTCATAATAATCACGTTGAAAGTCATAGTCCAAGTCAAAAGAGGAGCTGAAATATAAATATCGAAAGAAGATTAATTTGGAGATGCTGATGTCAATTCACAACAGAAGGGAGGGAAACATGCCAAACAACAAATATCAGTAAGATTAACATCAAATAAACCCAAATAATTCAAGTAAATCACTACATTTCTATCACCTTATACCACTAGTCATAGTACAACAGTCAGTTACTAAATAATTTCACTAAATTCAACACAACATAGCAAAAACAAAAAGACTGAAAAATGTAACAGTAAATTAAACATATACCCCGGTTTCTAAAAAGATAAGCAACTTTCAAAGGATTTCAACTTATGATATAAGACCAAACTACTCTTTCATTAAAAAATTTTCAGGGATCTAATACTTTAAATAAACAGAAAAAAGAGGTACATTAATGCAATTTAAAAACCATTACTTTTGCACAATAATACACATTACATTAAACCCTCCCCACATCCAGAAAACAGATAGAGAAGATGCCCACTGATGGACACAATGCAGTTATAAATAATAAAGTTCCGGACCTGAGTAGAGGGGACGGAGAAGGGTGTTCTGGTACTGACCCGTACATCTCCGCTGCAGATCGTTTCACACCTGCTTTTCCTCTGTTCACTTTTGGCTCTGCAGCCAGATTAATATCTGAAGAAACAAAAATAAAAAATTTTAAGGATTAAAAGTCTGACTTACAGTGACATAAATCAAGAAAGATCTCAGCATTACATTCCCATCTCATATAAAATTCCCACGAGAAATTCAACTTTTCATTTCTTTGTACCGTGCTGTAACAAAATTGTTCCTTGGACACATTAAATTTGTACTTGCAACCCTCAGCACTCATGTCAAAATTCAACTGTCACCATTTAGAGCATTCAATCTGCTCACTTGGCTTCTATTTCTATCAATGTGTACAACAAATTGTCTCACTGGAAATGGTTCTACAGATTTAAAAATAACAAAAATACATTTCAATGGATGAGTAATTTAGGTGTGAAATTACCTATTCCCCACTAACAGGGTTCATGGTCTTTTCCTTGTTGTTCTAAAAACCCAGGAAGGGTGTCAGGGAAATAGCTTAGTGGAATTAAGTGCTTGCCCGGCAAGCACAAGGTTCTAAATTCAATCCCTGGTACCAACAAAACAAGTAAAATAAATAAAAAAATACATCTAAAAAGCCCAGCTATCAAAATATCAAGGGAAAGGGGCCAGGGAAATACAATAAGCACAAGGGCCTGAGTTCAATTCCCAGTTCCGCCAAAAAAAAAGTAAGGCTAGATGAGCTTTGGTACAGTAGTTTGGGGCCAGGGAGATGGCTTAGTAGAATAATGCACTTCCCTAGCAAGCACAAGGTTCAGTCCCCGGTTCTGCAAGAAAATATATATACATCTGTATCAAGGGCTGCAAAACAGCTGTGTAAGATTCAGTTCAAATGATCAACTGAAAAATTTGATTATGAGATTCTGTTTGCTGCTCAGCACTAGATGACTATCCTTTTAATTTCTTATTGCCGAATGTTGATGGAAAGTTAATTACAATTTTGCTTTCAAAAGTTTTGACTTTGGATCCATGCACAACTCCTATGAAACTAAAAATATTTAAAAAGCAATCTATATGATGTAAAAACAAAATGAATCCCATCTACCATGCTGAGTATGTAACAAGTTATAGTGTCCTAAATTACTGAGTCATTTTACTAACTCAGAAGTTAGTGATCCTCCTGAGGCAGGAGGATCACAAATTTGAGGAATGTCAGGGCAATTTAGGGAGTCTCTGTTTCAAATGAAAAGGACTTGGAATGTAGTGATAAGAATTCTCCCGAGTTCAAATCTCACCACCACACACAAGAAAAGAACTCTATGTAGATGACAGCAATGTGATTTACATAAAAAAAAACAACCCTGCACAGTCAGACATCAAAACCAATAAATAATCCTAGCTATTCAGAAGGTTTGCGCGGCCGGGAAAATGGCTCAGTAGAATAAGCGATTCCCTGGCAAGCGCAAAGGCCTGAGTTCAATCCCCAATTCCTCCAAAAACAAAAACAAAAAAACAAAAACAAAAACTCCCCCCACACAAAGGCACTGGGTTTGATCTTCAGTAAAAACAAGCAAACAAAAGCCTGATGAGCTATTAGTGGCAAAAGCAAGTTTTCAGAAGGTTCGGGGAAGGAAAAAAACCCACCCATGTGGTGGTGTGCATCTATAATCCCAGCACTCTGGAAAACTGAGGAAGGAAATCTGGGAGTTGAAGACTGATCTAGACTACATACACAGCAAAACCCTGTCTCCAAGAAGAAAAAATAAATAGTGCTATGTAAAACAATTGCTTAAATGTTGATACATTAGGAAAGGAATGAAGCAGGTACAGTATGGGTTTTTTTTTTTGTATTTTAGTAAAAAGTGTCTTACAGGGTGTTCAGTTCTCACTAGATCAGACTTGTAGTGACCCACCTGTTCACAGCCTTGATGGGTAGTATTCTTTATTGTGCCATTCTGTAACATAGAGGCTGGATAACTCTTAGGCTGGATAACTCTTAGGTAAAATAGGACACATCATGGTGTGAACACACAATGAGCTGGGATTACAGGTGCACACCACCATGCCCAGTCTCAATCACCAGCTCAGCGCGCCCTGGAGGCAGGGCTGGCACAGCAGGCTGGGGGACTGAAGCCCTGCCCCTGCTTGCAGGGGCTTTGTATTTGGCTAGGCCCCAGGTTCATTATATTCTATTTTTGTGTGAGAAAATTCCATCAATAGTTAAAGTACATAATAAATCACTAACATGTTCATTTTAATAAATCTAATTTTCATAGTGTAGGTTTTCCTATACAGTGAATACCAGAGAAATGGGGGGAGGGGATGGAGATTTCCAATTACACTACTCTATTTACTGACTCAACATGTTAGAAGTTTTTCTCAAATGCTTTCATTAACAACCTTGAAATACTATCCCCTCAGATAAAGATACTACTAGCTTTTTTCATTTTAATAGAAGAAATTTAAGACTCGGTCATACTATATATGCAGCCTGTCCCAATACACATGGACATGAAATACTGAAGCAAAGCCAGTTGGTATGACTCAAAAGCCCAAGTGTGACTAAACAACACTGTCTCTCTGTGTTTACCTAAGGATGGTACAGCCAGATAAGCAACATCTCTAATTATGAAATACCATCATGTGTCCTATTTTACCCGAGTTGTCTAGCTTCTATGTCACAGAATGGCACAATAAATACCCATCAAGCAGGGAATGTAACTGTAACTAAGAGATATGTTACACTTATTTGTATTGGTTCAATACCCAGTACCAAAACAAAAAAAAAAAATTTTTTTCATTATGCCCACAAGCCTAAAACGTTTCATGTTAAAATTATAATAACATCCCACAATAAGTATCTCAGACTTTAAGCAGAAGAAAATAAGCCTGGCAGCATGATATATGCCCACTTGGGAAGCTAAAGCAAGATCCCTGCAAGTTTAAAGTCAGTCTGAACTGCATAACGAGATCCTACTTCAGAAAAAAGAGAAAAGGACAAGAATAGAAAAACATGAACAGAAAAATTCAAAATTATATCAAATGAAAAAAAACTCTTTCAATTGAGACCTTACCTAAAACCTGGCCAGCAATCATTCTGCCATCCTCTCCAGCTACAGCAGCCCGAGCATTTCTCTCATTAACATACTGGACAAAGGCAAAGCCCTTATGAACGGAGCAACCCACAATTTTGCCATACTTCGAGAAGATGGCCTCCACATCAGATTTCTTCACCACCAGAGTGTTCAGATTCCCAATGAACACACGGGAATTCATGGAGCAAGGATCTGTCTTGTTGGTAACATTGCTAGCCATTGTGTTTGATGATAAAGTTGCTTACAGTGACAAAAACCTGGAGGGGAAAAAAACAGCATTCAGGTGAATAGATGGAGTAGATCACTAAAGAACATTTACTAAAATAACTGTACTCATTTTGAACTACTATATCTAGATTCCATTTAAGAATGTCACAGTACCAAGTATATTACTATTGAGAGATTAGTGCTCTTGATATATACTTGAAAATTTTAACTTTCTGTATGCTCAGTTGTGCTCTTGGAGCACCAAATTTCCTTCAAACTATCTGCAACATAATCCTATGGAACATTTTTAATTCCAAGAAGATTAATTTTTTCTGTAATAGAAATAAAGTAAATCAGAATTCCTTAGGTTATCAGTTTTGACTATTCACTTTCCTTGTTAAGATTTCCTTGCCCTCAATAATTCTATCACCTTTTGTATTACTGCTTCTATTAAAAATACTTCTTACTCACTGGCCACCAAATAGACACAACTTCAAATTATACCATACAACATTCCTGAGCAAGATCAATGTGGACAATTTATGTTTACTCTTCAAGTGCAATTGACTGTTCTTACCCCCAGTATTGGGGATCAAACCCAGGGCCAAAAACATGCAAGGCCAAGTGTGACACCACTGAGTTGAATCCCCAGCTTCTTGAACTTCTTATACAGAGACAACAAATAATAATCAATTTATAATCTGAAAATATATATTTCAGGATACTTCAATTAAATATGCAATACATACATGAATATCAGTACCATTTTTTATAGACTACAATGACTAAACCTTTTGACAACCTACAGTATTCCTTAGTAATACTGGATGGTGATGATGATAAAACTAGCAAGTAGAACAGGCACAGATAAAAAACAGTAAAAGAATACCAAAAATGAACTTTGTAAATTTGTTATGGAATCTCAATCTCAATATTATTACATGGAAATGCATGATAGTACCACCCAATTCCCCTTCTATGTTTGCTTTTTTTTGCCTGAAACTTACTATTTAGCCTAGCTCGGCCTTAAACTCAGAGCAATCCTCCTGCTCCAGCCAGCCAAGTACTGGGATGACAGACAAGTACCACATGCCAAGATCTAAATTTCTTTTTAAATATAAAAGGTTCCATACCACATTGTTTTACCTCTTCCTCCTCTACCTTCCTATGTTTTTCTCTTTTTGCAATGCCAAGAATCTAACCCATGACCTTGAGCTTGCCAGGCAGGCACTTATGCTGCAGAGTTATCTCCTTGGCCTCCTCTAGGCCCCTATGTTGAAAAAAATGGTTTCAAAGAATGATTTTTTTTTAAATTTTTTTTATGTGTGTGTGTGTGTGTGTGTGGCCAGCTCAGCCCACCAGGGGGCGGTTCTGGCTGGCATATGGTGCTGGGGGATTGAACCGTGGTCCCTGATGCTTTGCTAAGCTTGTTCTAAATAGGTGCTTTAGACCACTGAGCCATCTCACCAGCCCAAGAATGACATTCTTAAGATTTCCATTTTTCTTTGAAAGGTACCAAAGAATGTTCAGTCAAAACTAATATTAGTACCTAGTATATTGGTTAGCCTATCAATCCAGTGAATGATGACAGATGAGTTTTTACCAATGATGTATACATGTGTTAGGAACATGTTTTATCAAACAATGAACATGTGCAATCATCATGTAGTAGGACTACAGAAATAGTAATAGTTATGCATGGTCCCTAAAGCTTATCTAGGACTATTTTAAAATTTTATTAAAGACAGTATAAATTTCAAATATCAAATGAGCTTACTACCAACTTCTGTCAAAGTGAAACATCTATGAGGTGACCAAAAATTATCAATAGTTTAGGTTAGTAGTGGTGAAGCCATGGCATGGGTAGTTTTATAATTTTAAGATGGAAGATGTTAACACAGAACTATTATTCCTAAATAAAATCTCAGTATTCAGGTTTAACTGCAGTGCTAGTGCTTCACAAAAAGTGAGTGGGGGGGCTAGATGGGGTAGCACACACTTGCAATCCCAAAAATCAGGAGGCTGATTCAGAAAGGTCATTGCGAGTTTGAGGCCAGCCTGAACTGGCCATAGCAAGACCCTACCTCAAAAAGAGAATCAGTAAGTGGGTTTTGGGCTAGGGAGGTAGCTCAGCAGCATAAATTCCTGTCTGGCAAGCACAAGGTCCCAAGTTTGATCCCTGGAACATCAACAACAACAAAACAAAAAAACTCCACAATTTATCAGGTGGATTTTTGGGTTGAAATTTGACTGTTTTTAAAAGGTTCACCTTCATTATCAATGGATTAAGTGTATATAAGCTACTGAAAAAGAACTAGTATTCTAAGAATGAAAGAATGGAGCCAGGTGTGGTTTATTATGCCTGTAATCCCAGCACTCAGGAGGCTGAGGCAGAAGGATCATTGGGAATTCAAGACAAGCCTGGGCTAAAAAGTGAGCACAAAGCCAGCTTGAACTGCATTAAGTCTCCTAAAAAAGACCAAAAACAAACAAAAGGCGGACTAGTTTTGTAATGTATCAAACTTCAACAGAAATCAATAAAATGACAACAGCAAAACTCCAAAGACAACATTTTCAACTACTCTAGATGACAAGATACAACCACCAAAACTCCAAACTGCAAGCTGGTAAAGACATGCCAAAGGCAAACACACACAAATGCCATCTGGACCTTAATATTTTTTCCCCTTTTCTTTTTTCTTCAGACAGGCCTAGCCTCAGTGGGGCTCCAAGTCAAGAAACTTCTGCCTCAACCTCCGGAGTACTGGGATTAAAAGCATGTACCATAACACCATGCTAAATAATCACGAAACAGTATTATCAAATAATCACTCAGTACTAACTACAGTAGAAAACAAAACAATTTTCTAAAATTAGAAAACTTTTGATTACTGCAGTAACACGTGAGTATAAGCAATTACAATAATGCTAAAATGGGTGGTTCGGGGCCTGCCCAATAGCTCAGTTGTTTAAGTGCCTGCTGAAACAAAGTCCTCAAGCTCAAGCTTCTGTGGTTGGAACCCAGATAGTCACGGCAAACCAGAAATGCCCTAAAGGCATTTTCAGGCCTCCAAAAAACAAACAAACAAAAAAACATAAAATGGGTGGCTCATGCCTATAATCCCAGTATCCTGTGTCTTTCAGAGTAACTGTGGAGCAAGCAGTCCTGGACCACAGCACTCTCTGGGTTTAATCCACAGTATAATCCCTCACCAGAAGTCAACTACTACATGACCTTACACACATCAAACCAGATAAAGTGTCAGTCATATAGTTGCAGCTATGTGGGAAAGATGAGGCTGAAGGGCCTTCTGAGGCAATGGTCATATCCAGTTCAGTCAGGCCAACGTATCAAGACTAACCCAGTTTCATTTTTTTTTTCTTTTTAATTAGCAGAATGTATTTATTGAGGGAAAGAAAGCTCCTCTCCAAGAGAGGGACAGGAGGGAGGCCGGAGCAGATTGTCCCCCAACTAAACCAGTTTCAAAACTCATCAAATGGAAAAAAAAAAAAAAA